TAACCAAATTAGTTAAAGCAACAATTTGAGCATTTAAAGAAGAAATGACATCAAGCTCATGAATTCCCGAGGCAGATTTAGAAATAATAGCACGAGGGTTAGACCACACTATTATTATTAGAAATTTGTTCCAAAATGTCATACCCCTCGTTGTAGGCTTTAGCTGTGAAAGCGCCAGCGGCCGTTGCGTCAAGAATAATCTTAGCGGCACTGGAAAGTCCATTATAAAAGGTTTCCAATATAATACAATGAGGGATTCCGTGGTGAGGACATTTCCGAAGAAGGTCCTTGAATCTCTCTCATGTATCCGATACCGCTTCATCTTCTTCTTGGCGAAACGTCATAATTTCATTTCTAAATTTTACATTCCTCGTCGGAGGAAAGTATTTTTTTAGAAATTTTTCCGCCAAATCGTTCTAAGTAAGGATCGAGTTTGGTGGTTGGGAATTTAGCCATGCTCTAGCTCTATTCTTCAATGTGTAAAGGAAAAGCGTCAAGCGTAAGGCCTCTTGTGTTATTCCGGGAATCTTAAAATGATCCGTCATTTCAATAAAAGATTTCAAATGAGAGTGCGGATCTTCCGAAGATAATCTCCCAAACTGACCCATWGCGGAAATCATTTGAAACATAACCGGTTTGGGTTCAAAAGATGTTGCTGTCATTTCGGGCCTACCAATTCCCGAGGCCAATTGACCAAATTCGGGCGTTGCGTAGTCCTGTATGCCTCTATTTTTGTCATCAACAATATTAACCATGGCTTCCTGAGGAGGTGGATTATCCCCCATGGTACGGTTTAGAGTGAGATTTCACCGATTGTTTCTACCTCTTCTCCGTCTCCTAATGGTTCTTTCTAACTCAAGATCAAGAGGTAAAAGATCGTCGTGTTGTAGCCGTGGCATACAACACAAGAACAACGAATGAAACAAATGACCAAGGCTCTAATGAAAATCAATATCTCAAGATAAAAATTACGCCAGTCCCCAGCAGCGGCGCCAAAAACTTGATGTGCTAAAATCGTAAGTATGCACACAGTGGGCACAATGCCCCCAAAGTGGTGGTGCAAGTGCACGCCGACACTATGATCGCTTCAAGTAATTGAGTGGTATAGTATCAAGATCGTTTCCACAGGGACTGGACTTACTGAGAATCAGAGACTTTCATGAAGTTCTTGAACATGCTTCAGGTTGAGAAAATATTTGAGTTTTGATTGGTGCAAAGCGTTAAAATATGAAATAAACCTTTAATATTAAAAGACGAGTATGGGTGTAAGCTTTACTTAAGAATATTGCAGGAACAGTTTGGTCAGAAACTCATGGGACTTATATAAGAACTCCTATCTCTCGAAAGTGAATTTTTATATAGTGTGCCCATAGAGTGCCCACAAAGCGTCCAGTTTTATCAATCTTAGACTTGCCGAATTAGCTAATAGATAAAAAGATATCTGGTTACACTAGCCTGAAGATTTATACTCACAACGTATTGTAATATAAACTCGACTAATATCTGAACATTAGCTAAAAACATGCAAAACCTGCATCTCTGCGTGATTATCAAAGACTCTCTCAAATCTTTGTGCATCATCTAAGCCGTATTTCAAATCCGCCCATCTCTGGATCAATGATATAATATTAACACTTCAAAGTGATCAGCTTATCTGCGTTGAGCTTAAGTCCCGACTTAAATGACCAAGCTTAAGAATTAATAAAATTGGCAACACCCAAGTACGCCTTCAAATTCTTAAGTTTGACTTACACCCACACCCAAAGGGGTGCTTAGCTCATTATAAAATTAGAACACATAGAGGAAACAAAAGAAGAAAAATGCATAAGAAATACTTGAACTGAAAATAATACTTAAATTGTTGCCCACAGAGGGCATACAATACACAGTAGCGAGAATTAAAAACTAAGTACGAAAATAAAATTACAAGCATAAATTAAACTTGCTCTACTACTGTCGAGTTTGAGAGAATGCTCCAAGGTTGCTTAGCTAAATTGTTGATGAGTTGGATGTCTTCCAAAGGAGAGAAAAGCTTCAATATATAGGAAGAAGTGAGGACCGGACAAACTTTTCGCCTAAAGGAAGAAAGTCTTCATCGTCTAAAATGTAAGGACCTCCAATCACCACATGTCTACTTTTTCAGGCCTAGTCACTTTTTCTTGAAAGGTTGCAAAAGGTAAAGCTACCTAACCATTAAAATAATAAAAAGGTAAGGAAGATTTTTTTATTAAAATAATGGTAGGAGTACTTTATTGGTATTTTATAACTCAACCAGGCTCATTCTTCCAAGTAACTCAAGATTTTCGGATCTGAACTCAGAATTAAATCTCATTAATACCCAAGAGAGTTAGTATTTGAATTTTGTTCAAATCCGACTTAATGAAAATACGCCATAGGATGAATGTGAGCAGAAAGTGGGCAGTTTACCAACAGCAATGAGTTTTTTTAGAAAATAATTAAATTCTTGACCTTTCATCACCTCTTAACATATTTTGGACCAAAAATACAGGATAGGAGCAAAATGGGTATCAAAGACACAATAAAATAGGGGTATTGAAAAACAAATAACTCTCACAAAATAAGAGTTATCATTGGCCTTTCATGAGTTTGGTGAAATATGGATCTTGGCTCAATCACAAATGAATTTTAAGGATTAATTCATAAAATTGAGATCATGTTTAAACGTATATTAAAATTGAAGTTTTTTTTATAGATGGCAACTAACACAACAAACACCGCAATAACCAACTTAAACTTTAACCTACGCTCTATCCTCGACAAGGAAAAAATTGAACGATACTAATTTCTAAGAACAGTTTCACTTACTAAGGGTCGTCCGTAGACAAGAAAATAAATTGTATGTTCGTGAGGCTCTCCCTCCAAACACTCCTGCTAGAAACGCTTCTACTGAACTCGTGTTGCTTGTGATAAGTTTAAAAGCAATACAATGGACGCTGGTTGCTTAATACTTGCATCTATGAGCCCGAGATGTTACAGGATCATGAGGATTTGGATGTATGGGGTATGATTGTCTCTCCCAAAAACTATGTTTGAGAAGCAAGCATCACAGGAAAGGTTTGACATTGTTAGGACATTGGCTGCTTGCTAGATGTCCGAGGGGTCATCGATCAGTCCCCATGCTTTAAAAATGAGGGGATATGTTGATCGTTTGAGCCGTCTTGGTTTTCCACTTGGAAAAAAATTAGCAGCCGGTTTTTTCCTAAATTGTTTGCCCAAATCATATAACCAATTTGTAACGAATTACAACAATAATGGTTTAGGCAAGTTTCTTACTGGCTGCTTGGACAATCTTTGATCCCCATCCCTGATCGGTCCCTGATTTTGTAGGAATCCCCGGTCCCGATCGGGAAGAGTACATCATGTTCTCCCACGGGACGGGTCTCGTTCTCATGTCCAATTGTGTGTTTTATCATTGTTCCTATTGGTGTATAACCCAATAACAACATTACATAAAGATATGACTGTTTTAAATTGTGTGGAGCGCTCTAAACTTCATAAGATAATTATGTGTCATTTTCCACATATTAATGTTTCTATTCTAAAGGGATAATGACTTGTTTGTATATTGGTTAAAGCGGAGTTTGTCATTCTTAAATGACCAACTTTGTTGGCATACTTGGATTTTAACACTGCATCATAACTCCAACTCATTCTACTTCAACCAATTCACATTTGATACAAATCCGTAGTGGTTTCGTTGCAATACAAGACCTTTCCACATATCGTTTTAACAAGGAATTTCCTCTGTCTTAAGTAGCATGCAAATTTTTGCATTGTGCTTTTTTTTTCGATCGATAATATTGCCAATTTGTAATGTGGTAAATGAGTGTTTTTCTACCATGGTCGATATGGTCAAGAAACGAAGGACCCCATTTGAGAACTAATGTCCGTTCAGGATCGATATGTTGACACCTTTTGAGAAATAGAAATATTATGGACAACAAGGAATACAAAGACGATTAAACACGAAATAATATGATCGCTCAAAGGGTTGAACGAAGAGTGCGTCAAGCTGATCACTATGACGAACTTGATTCTTTTTCCTAAAGATTTCCAATAAGAAAAACCCTATTGGCCTATTTGGTTTGTATGATTGGATTAGATTTGGAGGGATCTAAGCTTGTAGGCTTGTAGAGAATGCTATTGTGCACATATACAGGTCCTAGACTAGGTAACAACGAGTACAAACAAGGATTTGTAATTATATTTCATTTCAATCTCATGTTTGGTTTGAAAATTTTCTTAGATTTGAAATCCCGTGATTTTATTAAAATCCCACAAACATAAGATGTTGAGATCCTACATGGGTGACTGTTATGTCACGGGATTTCGTAGAACTTGTATGTAATAATTTTTTAAAATGTGTAAAAAATTCATTTATTTTATAATAATCAATAAATAAAAATATAATTTAATTTAATTATTTTTATAAACTATTTATAAAAAATTGAATTCAATTTGATTCTAAATCCTACAAACAAAACAAATTAAACATTCTAGATCCTTCTAGACCCGAATCCCTCCACAAAATCCAAATCCCTCAAATTCACTTCATCAAAGCAAACGCTCCCTAATATAGGGTCAAGGACTCCAAATACTGTTCATAAACGATCCATACTAGATTTAACCAACTACCATCCTACTTCCTCTTCGTTCTTAACAACCCATCTTTGTTCCATTAGTCTTTCAATGGCATGTTTCAAAGTTCAAGACGAAAATGATATGGAATACAAAAGAAAATTAGAACACCAAATAATATTGAAATAACATTTTAAAAAGATTCGGTTAACATTAACCGATTTCTTAACCAAGTTATTTGAAATCGAGGACCAATCCGTCAAGGACCGATCCAAATGTAACCGACCTGTATCTGGATCCGAGCCTTAACCGGTTTCTAGACCTTCATTCATGCCCAAATGATTCAGTCCAACTCAAAAAATACATCCTCTTTCCAATCATCAATCACACAAAAGTATCTATCATGCAAATCTCTTTAACTGTAAAAAAATGGGCATATTCAGAGATGCACAAACCAATGGTCATTTCATGTCTACCCTATTTTCTTTCTCCATCATAAGAAAAGAGTTGATCAAACCAAAACAAATTAATGCAACATCAGCAGCTTTTCCTATCAGAAACTTACATTTAATTTGGGGCTGTACAAGTTTCAAATACATCGTTATAACATAACATTTTTCATCATATACCCTTTACGAACGATTTTTGCTCACATTTCCCTTCCTGCAAATTCTCCGTTTTTCCGAATGGGAGTCACGAGTATAGGCCTAGATGAAAAAAGAAGTATTTATATATTACTATAGCTCATGGAGGTTCAAATAAGAAAGGCAAAATGATCGAGAACGTAAAAGTAAATGATTTATATGTGAATCATTGGTAAAAGGTTATGTGAGTTCGCATGTGCATTTTCATGTGAGTAATTGGTCAAAAAGTAGGTAGGCAAATGTGGATTCACATATGCATCTCTATATTGATTTTTTGGGGTTTACCAAAGATTCACATATGAATCATTTATTCTTATGTTCTCAGCCTTTTTGCCTTTCTTATTTGAATCTTCCCCTACTATAGTAATACAAAATCACACCTAAAAAGTATCACAAAGAAAAGATCCGCAGTTTGAAAGCCAAGATCTCATAATATACATTACTCCTTCTGTCCCAAAATAAAATGTCCACTATAAAAAAAAAAGCACATTGTTTTACAAATGTGTAGTTATTATATTTTTTAATTAACTAAACAACAATTTTACCTTTATAATAAAGAAAGTAATTAATTTCTCCATCTCATAGTTACGGGTAAAATTGGAAAGTAAACACTTATTTTAGAACAAACCAGAATAGAAACGTGGACACTTGTTTTGGGACGAAGGAGTATAAAGAATGTTGCCAAAAAGTGTGATTAGATACATAAACTCTTACCGAATACGGTTCTTGGGGAAGTGTCATATGCTGATATCCTCAGGGTAACTTCCTAGAACACTCAAGAAAGTAGCAAACTCCTGCCAACGATGTGGGACATCTTGAAATCAATAATTCATGGTGTAGAACAAGTGCAATCAACAAAACCAATCCAAATCAAACGTGCCAGTATATCCCACTCGGAGAAAAAAGATCTCTTATTACCCTTCTCTATTCCCTCCATGTCTTTTCAATAAGACGTAGACACATCATCTTTTTTCTCTCTCCCACTACCATTTAGAGGTTGTTTGGTTCAAGCTGGGGAATAAGAATGAGAATGACAAGAAGGAAATGGGAATGATTTTCTGGAATGAAAATTTGGGTTTGTGAGGAATGGGCTCATTATATTATATAAAACCAAACAGTTTCTTTTATTTCCATTACCATTGATTGTTGCTTAATACCTCTAACCAAACACCGCTTTAATTTATAAATGCATCCCTACCTTATACCTTAACATAACCATCCCTTGCAAAAAAAGTGTGTGCGAAAAATAAAGCTTGCACAAAAAGTGAAATAATCAAGTTAAAGTTAACAAAATGAAACCTTAAGATGCGAAAGAGCATTCTGGGCCCTTTGGTCAGCCATGGAAGCTTGGAAGTCAACATAGAAAAGATAAGGGAAAGACCTATATAAGAATTAATTTTAAGTGCAGTTAAAAAAAGTAACAGCAGGGTCAAGATGAAAGACTTTGAATTGTAAAACAAGAAAAAAAAAAAAAAAGAAGCAGTTTCTATACATACCCAGGGAATCCACTGGTGCTCTCATTATGTGCAGGTAAAGCCTGCCTTTGCAGAGGACGGCTTTCAATCTGCTTTAAGGTAAATTAAATTCTGAACAATCAGCTGGACGTTACGAGTAAAACCACGAATTGTGAGGGAAAACATAAGGATGGAACCTGCCTTGGTAAGATTGATTTGTCTCATAGCAAACACTGCAAGGGCCTTGAATAGCATCCCAGGACCCTCGTCGAGTGAGAAGACAATACTTGTCTGCAACATAAGTTCGTGTATTACACGTAAGTACAAGAAAGTAAAGCAACAGAATAGGACTCCCTCCATCCCAAAATAAGTGTCCACCTTCAAAATATTTTAATTCTACCCTCAATTATGATGCACAAATATTTAAGAGTTGATGAGATGGGAAAATTCATTGAGGGTAAATTTGCCATTCGGTTAATTAAAGAGTGTAACAATTATACAGTTCATAAAACTAAGGGGTGTAAACAAGTCGAGCTTTTAACGAGCTACTCGAGCTCAAGCTTAATAATTGTTGAGCTCGAGTCGATCTCGAATACAAAATAAAGATCGCCTAACTTAGTGAATCGAGCTTCATAACACCAATGTTCGTCTAGACTCATTCGAAAGCTCGATTAAACTTCGAGTAGAGTCGAGGCAAGCCAAGCCATTCGAGCATACACTTTTTCAAGCCAAACATATTTATATGTTTACGAATTATATAATCAAAAAATAAATAAATATTGAGCTTGAGTAAATAAACGAGTTAATTGATCTCGAATTTGAGCTCATAAACAAGCATCGAGCTCGAGCCCAAACATTGAAAAAATATTCGAGCCCAAGCCTGACTTTGAAAAAGTTAATCGAGCTCGAGTCAAGCTCGAGCTTGATATTATTTTTTCAAGCCGAGCTCGAATAACCTGCTACACGGCTCATTTACACCCCTACATAAAACTGTGACAGAGAGAGTAATATTCAGGTTTCAGCTACCACTAGTAAGCAAACCTTGAATGGTCTATCCGTGCGAGGAATTATAGGTTCCCTTGCCAGCATTAAGAATCGAGTGACATTATCAGAATAATCCTGGAAAAGAATTCATCCATGTGTGATTTACAATTACCCAAAACCAACGCACGTTTATCCCACAACTTTGAGAGCTACCTGAATATCTTGAACAAGCAAATTTAATCCATAAATCTTAGCAGCAGCAGCACTAGCAACTGCACCAGTATCTTTGAGTTTGTGGAGAGCAACATGCTGCCATGGGGAGGGAAAAGACACAAAACAAATCAGAGGGCACTCGACTATAACCTATCATATATGCTAATATGGTTCACAGAAGAAGATATTAAAAACATGGACATATTTTTACACAATTTATGTATGTCACTAGGTCCAGGACTACAAACTATAAGAACCAGGTGATTAAGTCAAATGTTAGAATGGACACCAATGAGGTCTTCTGGGGGAGTTAAGAGTTGCACCTATCACGGATAAATTGAGAGGAGAGAGACTACAGTGGTTTGGTCACGTTCATAGGAGACCAATGGTGGCACCGGTGAGGAGAGTGGAAGGTGTGATGATCGAGGGAGCGAGGAGGAGGACGTGGGATGAGCAGTTGAGGATGGACATGACAACCTTAGACATTTCCAAGAGCATGACCTCTCATAGGAGTGCTTGGGGACGTAAGACTAGCGTAGTACAGAGAGAGTAAGAACCTAGACCTAATATGGATAAGAAGAAGGTAGTGTCTTAGTGAGGTTGAAGGCGGGCATGGGGAGGGTTAGGGAGCTGGCAGATAAGGTTTCAGGATTCGTCGATAGATGGCAGGTTGTGTGTGTTTCCTTAGTTTCTATATGTTTCATTATGCTTTTCCTGTTTGTTGTTTTTCTTTTCCGTTTCTTTCTTTCTCCCTTTTGTCTTTCTCTCTCCCGTTTTGCTCACACTGTTGCACAAGCTGGGGGTCTTCATGGGATCAACTGCTTTGAGGAGATTATTTTCTTCCAAGATTCCGAGAAATAGGGACAGGCAATTTTTTGATTCAATAGGAAGCGAATTCCTCTATTTGATGTCGATTCACCCACACTTCCAATCCTTAAAACCACCTCGACCGGTCAGAGTAAACAACAATGTCGAATCAGGCCGAGACAACCGCTCTATCAGTTGGGGAAGAGGACAGACCTGTGTACATCTCAACCCCCCCTCGGGCCGCAAGCCCTGCTCTCGAGCGGGTAAAATGAAAAAAACAACTTAGTGTAGCAATCTCATCAACAGAACCATGAAAAGTTTCCCCAGGCACTTCTTCTAGTACATGCTATAACTATAAGAAGCAAAGCCACCCACATTGACAAAGGAGGCTGTAAAAAAGATTCTGAAGTAATAATTCACTTATTATGACCATCACATAAGCTTTTACATTGAGTTGTTTGAAGCATATATGAGCTTCCCGAGAGTTTGGTTACTACCAACATTATTAACCCCTTAACTGATGACTAACCTTTACTGGCTGGGAAAAATAAAGTAAAATGGATGTATAGATAAAAATCTACACAATTTGACATCTAAATCACTTAATCGGTTGAGGGCCTCTTCGGTACACAATCAACTTGGAGCCAAATGCAGACCACGTTGAGCAACCATTAAGAGAGACAGTAATAGGAGAGAGTAAAGCACCTCCTGATGTACAAGTTGCATCCAATTGTAAAATATGATGAATGAAGGTTGTAACATTCATTGTAATCAAGCTGAGAGTAAAGTGAAAAAAACTGGACTTCACACTCTAGCAGAAACATTTATAAATACGTAGTAACACAGAAAATAAAAATAAATGTGCTATATTTCTAACATTCCTCGAGTTTGAATATATATATATATATATATATATATATCAAACATGCTCAGCTTGCTACACATAGGATAAGATCAACAAATAGAAGATTCGTGGACTACCAACCACATTCTCATTAATATAGAACAATAAACTTCAACATGATTACGCTCAACAAATATCTAGTTCTTGGAAATATGCATGGTTGCTTTATCATCAGGTACCTTTTCATTACTCTAGTTGTAGGATTTGCCATATCATGTACTGAACATTGCACCCAGAGCAACTCAAATTGTCCACCCCATTGGTTAAGATAGTAACTACATACTTCGTCACACATAGAAAGATGGTTTAACAAGATTTAGCCACTATCAATACCCATAAATATCTAAAGTGCTTCATCCAGGATTCTTTGTAAATAAATATATTTATTGTTGCAGTACCTCATTATCATTCTTGGTGATCATGATATATGCAAAAACCAGGGCAACCTACGTACCATGTCCATATGCATAGGAACACCATGTCATCCAAATTTCTCAGAAGACAAGCATTACACGACTAAGAAAATCAAACAAGAGAAACCTGCTTAAGACCACAGAAAGACCTCCTTCATTAACAAACCTATAAGCCTCTACTACACCTCAAATCAAGGAGGGTGACCCACATACATCTCCTCCGCAAGATTAGCAGTAAGAAATGCATTCTTGTTTACAAATGTACAGCAATCAATCATGAATGATGCTTGAGCAATCACAAGATAAATGATGATGGGGAGTTAAATGTTACTAGTCATAGGGATTACTAAGTCTATATATTATCATTACCTATTAATAAGAAATCATCCTTTTCAGTACTTCATGATATGAGAGCCATGAGGCTCTCAATACAAGACCTAATGGAAGGTAGTGTCACTTATTGTTCTTGTTAATATAATGAGTATCACTGCTTCTAACAAAAAATGATGAACATTAGTGAAGGTGGAGATGCTTGATGCTTGTGGAACTTGATTGTTCAGAATTCCTTATTTGAATGTTCTTTCTCCAGTCTTGTTATTTCTTTAGGTAAAAGATAGCCTGCTAAATATAATTGGAGGGCTAATAGAGAGAATAACATGCAATAAAAATGCATTACAATACGCTATGATAATAGTAATTATTTATCTTTATTGTTGCTATAATATTAGTTTTATATATAGAATCTAATTCCATGTTGCAAGAGACATAATTAAATAGCATCTGGTTTTAAGAAGACTTGTTCACTATGTTGGGTAAATTGAAGTCAAAATGCAGCTCTAACTTTTTGTGTTATTTTTTCAAAGCATATGTATCTCTTTTGCTATCTTATTGCTTAGCAACATAAAATAATTAAGGAGCTTGTGAATACCTTTGCAGCACCAGCAGTATCATCCACGGCTTCTCTGACTATACCTAATTTTGTTAAGGTGTTCTCGCATTGTGCAAGAGCCTGCAGAAGCATTGATGTACGGAACATGTTTACCTGGAGATAAATAATTACATAAACTGGTGGCAGATGATATACCTGTGGATGGCTAAGAACCCTTTTCAAATCTTCAACTTTGACACAATGGTTAGCTAGCAGGCAATGCCGTATAGCAAGTTTCACTTCCCCAACAATGTGCAATCTGTGTCGAAGTAACAGGTCATAATTCCTATGAATGCTACCTCCTAGAGAATTCTCAATAGGTAAAACTGCCCGGTCGACTAGCCATCGCTCAACAGCCTGCAGTGTAAATAATAAAGAGTTCAAAGCACTTCCTTTAGCCCAGCTAGATATATTTTTCTGCACATCACTTATAAGTATGAAGGTCATGGAAACAGACGCTCTACTCTCCAGGGTAGTGGACAGATCTGCGTACATCCAACCCCCAGACCCTACCTCTGAGTGGGATATACAAGGCTCGTTTGGTTTGGTTTTATTTCTAATTACGAAGGTCACACGTGTTCCAAAATCCAATGTATATCGGATAATCTGGGACTGCATATACATAAGCACAAAACACACTCTAGATCTTTAACATGGACAAGATTTATGATCTATAATGTTCTTTCGTTGATATCTAACATAAATAATTCAAGGAAAAAGTCATTGAGCAATACATTAGCAACCCTAAAGGTTATGCAAGCAGTCTCAACCTGCAACTTACATCCCAATCCTGTCCTTTTTTGGAACAATTCCAATGGTACTGTAGTTCAATCTGAACGCTAAGTTTATCCTCTATGGTTTAAAGACTGCAAATCATCAGTAGGATTGTCACACAGAAAGTTTTCAATCATATATTTAAACCTGGTAGACTTGAGGTTGGGACACATAGATACTTTTGTTACTTATCACCATGTCGACACAAAGTAATAATCTTCTAAAATATCAGGAATTCAGCAAACTTCTATAGCATGACAAACAATATAATGCTGTAAAAGAGAAATTAGGACAAATAACCTAAGCAGTTAACGCAGTCCATTGCAGAAATAGCGGTCGGGACCTTGACTTGAAATAGCGGTTTTCACGGTCATATAGCGGTAAAAAAAATTATGTTCATAAAATAAATTAAACATATATATATATAACTTAAAATATTGTATGTCTAATACATATCAAGCCAAACAATTCAAACCAAACAAGCAACATAGTAATAGGAGCTGTGCTGTCGAGATGAGAAGAGAACTCCAGTAGAAAACCCGTGGAACTGCGGAATCGAGAAGAAACCTCGAGCTGTTGAAGCTTTTTGGACTTGGAATCGATGAGCAGAGCTTTGGCCAAGCTTTTTGGACTTGGAATCGATGAGCAGAGCTTTGGCCTTGGAATCAATACCAAAGTTTGACCTAATTGTTTCTATTGTTGATTTAATTGGTTTCCTTTTTGTTTGCAGGCCTAAGTTTGACTCCAAAATAGCCCACATAAATGACACAACACAAAAGCCCAAATAAAATTTAAACTAAAAAAAGAAGTCCAAAAGAGCCCAAAAAAGAAAAATCGGTAATAGCGATCGCTATTTGGTATCAGAATTGCAGTCAATAGAGGTAATAGTAGCCGCTATTAGCGGTACCGCTATAATATACCACTATTCATGCACCGCTATTTTGATCAGGACCGCTATTTGCTATTTCGCCGCTATAGTGGCGCTATAGCGCGCTATTAACTGCATAGCAAGTAACAAACATTAGTGAAAAGGGACTTTGAGAGTGTATTTCAGTCTTGATTTTTGTTTAGGTGTAAATATTCAGCTTCCTAAGGTGTACACAATAGTGTTAAAGTTTATGATAGTGCAGTTGGTTTAAAAAGTTATTTACTTTCGTTGCAGACTTGCAGTACTTTGAGTACTTGTCAACCATGAAGGCTAAGGCTTCTAAGCTTTGACACTGTTAAAAGCTACTATCTCCCTCCCACAAGAACTTGTACATTCAATTCTGGGGGGAAACATGTTAAATTGCCCAGTCTCCCATTGCGATCAGCATGAAATGGCTATGATTCATTTTGATACACATGATTTGCTCCTATTCAGTTTACAGGGTATTTGAACATTTGCCTAATAATCAACAACTTGTTTTAATATGCATTTGGAGTCAAACATTGCTATCCTTGTGTTGGAAGGAGTATTGTGCAGAAAAACAGAAACAATATGAATATTGAGCCTATGACAAAAGTTGAAGCATAAGTATCATTCCCAACTTTACATTATAGCACAAACTGTTTGAGTTACATGCATATAGTACTATCTACATTAGTAACTAAAGTATATAAATGACCTATTTGATTGATCATACCAACTAAATGTCCCAAACTAAAGTTGTCTTCACAAACCAAACATTTCCCATGGATTAAGTTCTTCACAGGTTAAGTTATCTCTCTTCAAATGTCAACAACAATGAACAAACAGCTCAAGTAAATAACAATAAAAAATAGAGGTACAGTTTAAGAATTTGATCTGGAAAACATGAGTTACAAGTGTGTGTAGGTGTTGAATAACTGAGCAGTTAGAAGTTGTGCAATGAATCAGAAAACATGATTCTTGCTACAAACATGCCTTCATAAGATAAGCCTCTTATCCCAAACTAGTTGGTATCAAGCCCAAATTTTTATCATGATTTGTCATCATCAATGTCAGGTAGCATGCAGTGACTCTACAAATTATTACAAAAATCTTGTCTATTTCTAACTATCAAGAACCAAGTGCAAGAGGAATCTACATATCATTACACCTATGACTTGTCATGCCTAACAACGCGGATCTCATTTGTGTCCCCTCGGCAGAAACCTGCATTTTACACATCCTACACTGACATGTCTGAGGTCTCTTGGCTCTTTTGAGCTACAACTAGACATGTCCTATTCAGCCTACTAGGCTTTCAACAATGTGTTGCTCACTCAATCACATTTTTTAGGAGTTCTTCATGGAGAGCCTCCCAAATCCATGAGAATTTCACCTTAGTAGGATTAGAGAAGCGTCAAGAAGAGAAATACAGTCAGTGAGAAGAAGCAATCCAAACTTAATTCTAATGTATTTTTGGCTTGTCTGCTCCAGTCTGTTTCCAAATTATTATTTAGTTTTTTAGTGTTTGTTGTTTTCCATGTCATGTTGGGGATGATTGATATATATTCTCAAACTTGAAGTTTTAGGAGATAGAGTTAGGATCCAAGGCTTCATATATTTATTTGCCCACAGCACTATCTAATGCACTCCATATTAAGACTATTTTATTAAGAAATAAAAATTCTCTCGACTCCTAAATATTTACTACCCATGAGTGAAGAAACATACATGCATTTTATGGCATGAATGATTGGATCTTCAGTTCTTTCATTGTACTTCAAGAACTTATCTTTGCGGCCCGATATTTCAAAATTTCTAGTCGCTTCATGGCTTTACAACAGAACGTGTAACAATTAACAATATGTGAGAAGTTGCACAAGCTTCTAAATAAACTATTGATTAAAATGCAGCAATCAAGCCTATAACCTACAATAATAATTTTTGGTACAATTAAATGCTACACACACCTCGAATGCAGTTTCAAATTGTTCACAAGGAACTGCTTCACAGTTAGGGTAAGCCTTCTCTGCAGCTGATTCGCTATAGGCCCCTCCAACTCCCTGGCAAAATCCCCCAAAAAGATCAATTTCTTTTCCACATAGTGTTTGTGCTTCTTTTGTGATGCATTGGATTATAACTTATAAGATCACCACACCACATCAAAAAAGAGCTTTGTTTGACATTAGTACCAACTCAAATGATTTGTACCGATGTATGAAAATATACACCACGAATTATAGAATATAGACTCAAAAAATAACAGCAAAACAATAATTTCTCACATCAAACGTCTATAACTAACCTGATAAGCAACTCGAAGTCGAGAACCCTCTGGAGGCAATCCAGTCAAATCCGTGGAAGATAAAGGCCCTAAATTTCCACAAACTAAACTGAATCACGAAAATAAATTTGCAAATGGCCTGAAAGTTACAGAAGAAAACAGTAATAGAAGATAAGTAAACTAAAATGCTGATTTTACTTGGAAGAGAACTGCTCTTTCCTTCGTTGGTGCCTCCTTGAATGGATGATGAAGAAGCAGAGACTGATGTACTACATCGCCGTACGTTGAGAGGAAATTTTGCATTGGATGGGAGCTTTGGATTTGACGTGGATCTAATAGGGTTATGAGGCAGGCTTATTGGGGTTCGACGTATGGAGGCCGCCATTGTTGTTGGTTAGAAGCTTTTGTGGGCATGAAACAGGAGGAGATGAGGGGAAACTGGATGCTAGGAATGAAATTGGATAGTCTCAAAAAATTTCCAAAAATTAAAATTCAAATTTTTTTGATATTTAATTAAACATTACAATATTTATTATATTTTTAAAATCCGGACTATATTATAAAATATTTGACATAAACTCTTAAAAATCATTTTTATACATGAAATACTGTTTATTAATGCATATTACTTAAAATTCAAGATTACAAGTAATTTTACATAAGTACAACTTATTAAAGTTTCATTTTTTAATCCGTGTAACTAACCGTAGACAAACATAATCTAACACAAGATAAACATTTCATTTTAAATATAAAAACTCTAAAATATAATTAGGATAAGAATTTGACTTCCAACAAAATAATTAATTATTATTTTTATAAATAACTATAATATTAAATCAAAAATAAATTACTTCATTATTAAACATAAATTAAATTATAATAAAAATTGAATTAAAATATTATATGAAAAACAAGAATTCGAGACGTATCTTGCTGCATTATGTGAGTATCCATTTAGTAAAACGTATTTTTTTAATGGCTAGACAAATTAGAACATTTTCAACTGTTTCTCTATAATTATTTCAAAATAAAAAATAAAAAATGAAAATCTTTAAATTACAATCAATTTCAATAGCTTTCCTATTTTAAAGATTTTATCATTACTTATATTATTTAAACATTTTATAATTTTATAATCTCAATATATTTTTTAAAATATATAAAAAAAATGATATTAAAACAATAATCATTGGTGGAATGAATAAAAAAACTCATTTCTTTCTTTTCTTTTTGAATTTTTAGAGAATTCTTTATACTTGAAGTTTTCTCCATGATTCTTTATTTTAAAGAATGAGATAGAGAAGTTATTGGAGCATTATAAAGAACTAGAAGTGTACTCGCGCAATGCAGCGAGATACATCCGTGATTTTAATATTTCATTTTATTCTTTATCTCACTGATGTTATAATATGACTTTATGTGATTTTGAGAAAGCGATGATGTTTTTATTTTTGAATAAAATATATGTTTGAAGATATCATAAAAATTTGACAAAAATATATCGATATTAG